CTCTTTAATAAACATTGAGTTCTCTGTGAAAGTAAATTCAGAGAACTCCCAGCTATGTGGTTAGCCTTCGACACCACATGGACTTAGCTACCAAGTTCATTTCCAGAGGAAGTTCCTAATGGTTCAAAATCCTTGAAGCTTGCTTCTGGGGTAGTTTTTATATTTCTAACTCCCATGGTGCTCTATATTCCTGAATATAAATGGTAGATTTGAAATAAACAAAGATAGCTGTATGTGATTTTTTTTTCTGAATTATATTTTTTCCGGTGTGAAGAAACCTGACATCAAAATATTTGCGAACAGCCAGAATCAGTTTAATGATGTACTGAAAACAGCAAGCTTCAAACTTGTTTTTTGAAGACTGGTGTCCAGAAATGGTGGAAAAGGCGATTAACCATGCAAAATGTTAGGAATTGGACATTTACTTAGAAAAATTAATCAAATTAGAAGAAAAGTACCCAGAGAAACCAAAGATGCTCGTCTTACATCGTTGGAGAAATAACAAGGCAGTGTTTGAATGTCCTGATCATTTTCACCAAGATCTGGACACTAGTTCTAAAGCAGAAGAAGAAAAACTTAGAAGTTTTTACTAAATGTATTAGAAATTTAAGCTGAACTTCTGGTGAAAGTATTTTAGTGGAACTTTTTTGACGGTGAAAAAATTTGAAGGTAACTAGAATTGATAACGAAGAAACAAAGACATAGAAACTTCTAAACTTTATTATAAAATGGAAGTTTTATTAAACTTTGCTAGGCTTATACTTAATTTAAGGGCTTTCTTAGTTGTTTGTATGTCTGTTGCTTCATGTGAAAGAAACTTTATGACATTGAAATTAATAAAAAATTGCTCTTCCGTCAACTATCAGTCAGCACAGATTGACAAAAAAAGTCTATTGTCTATTGAAAATAAATATTTGAAGAAAAATAACTTCGACAAAATCATTGACAAATTTGTAGAATATTAAGGCTAGAAAAACGAAAACTATAATTTTGTTGTTCATGACTACAATAGAGCAATATGTAGGTATATGTTTTTCCCCTTTAAAAAAATACAGCAATACAGTTAAAATCATTAATCCATTATCTTTTTTTATGTTGTCATATTGATCTTAATGTTATTTGAAAAAATTTGATATAATACATTAAAAGTTCTATAACATAAAAATTTACTCTTCTCTGTTTTCTGATCATTGTTTTTTCATTTCATGTCATGTTACTCAAAATAATTTTCTCATATCGAGGAAGAGGATGTGAAAAATGATTCTCTGAATGGTTAATATCCTGGGTAGGACATGCTGGCCATATTTATTGGTCACAGTAGGCTATGCTGCAGTAACAAAGAAACTCTGAAATCTTGATGGCTTAGCCCAGTTAAAATTTGTGGCCTACTAGCACAAAGTCAAATAAAGAAGTTCCTAATTGGCTAGCAATTCTTGGTAATTTTCTGCAAGTGGAAACTCAGGGACGCACCATCTTGAGGCTCTGTTACATTGTTGCTTCACAGTTGCTCTGGTACCATCCAGCTAGCAGATGGACAAGATGATATGGAAGATGAAAGAATGTTGAAGATTAGGCAGGCTATTTTATGAACAGGCCTAGAAATAGCACACATCACTCTTGTCTGCATTCAGTTGGCCAAACCCAGCCTTTTGGTACCAACTTAAAAGCAAAGAAGGCTGGGAAATATAGTCTTCCTGTGTGACAAGGAAGAGGGAACAGGATTGGTGAGCATCTCGTCAACTCTGTCGATCATCTGTGTTCAAGCTGCTATTCCTGCATCTTTCTACCATTGCAGTCGCTTGTTAAATGGTGTCTCTGCAGTCTCTTCCTGTTCCCAGCCATGCAAGAGAGTGCAATTCAACAGCTAATGGTTTTCAAACCAGGCAAGTGAACTGCTCTTTTTCAAATGAAATATTCTATGCGAGCCTGTGTATTAAAAACAGATAAACATATAGCTGTTCTGGTCAGAGTAGGGATGAGCAGTCAGAAACCTTCTTAAATTTGTCTTTTCATTAACTCACACATGCTTCCCCTCCCTGTCCACCCCAGCCATTCCTGGGGCCCTAAGTCACCTTTCTGTAATTACTGGGCTTGGATTAAGAGAAGTTGAAAAACACTGCAGTCGGCAAAGTAGGACCATTGACGTGTTTGAACAGGGAGTGTTGTTTAGAGAGATTAAAGTCCAAACTCTGGCATGTAGGGCTGCCACAGCCTACCCAATACTTTTAACTTTATCTTATTCAAGTCTACTTAATGTTCTTTAAAAGTTTCCCACTCATTTCAACCTTTGTGTCCACCTATGCAAACTTATTCTTTTTGGTGAGGAAGATTGGCCCTGAGCTAACATCTGTTGCCAACCTTTCCTTCTTTGCTTGAGGAAGATTGTTGCTGAGCTAACGTCTGTGCCAATCTTCCTCTACTTTATGTGAGATGCCGCCACAGCATGGCTTGATGAGTGGCACTAAGTCTGCACCCAGGATCTGAACCTGTGAACCCTGGGCTGATGAAGTGGAGCAGGCCACGGGGCTGGCCCCCATATATGCAAACTTTTCACATTGATTTTAATATTGAACTCGTTTTTATTCATTTAGCCTTGAGTGCCAGGCATTAGTGTACCATGATAGAGACTCTGACCTCAGGGGAAAGAATTCTTATAAAAGTAAATGAAAAACTCTAATTACAAAGTCGAATATACAATGCAATATTAATAATGTGGAAAGAACTTCTTTCTCTATATGTAAAGATATATGTCGAGTCTCTTGTGTATTTGTCTAACCCCTTGGGTGATCTCAAGGCCCGCCAAGAGCAATCAAGCCAAGAGGCTGCCTTACTTTCCAGGAACACAAGCCAATCCTCAAAAGCCACCATCGCAGGGGAAGGAGCTTTCTTCCAGTTCTGGGGTTTCCCCCAGGCAAGGAAGGCCACTGGGCATAGCAGGCATGACAACACGGACATTAGAATATTTAGTATATTTGCGCTGACTGACCAAGGCAGACCTGTATACTGTGCATGCAGGCTGGAAGTCTGTTTTATTTATAAACCAAGACTAAACCTCTGTGATCTTACATTTGTGAGTCCCTCAACTTCTCTCCCAATCCTCCCCACCGCTACCATGGCACTGGGCAGAACCAGCTAAAGCTGGTCTGCTCCACTCAATTTACTGTTGAATTCATTTGCATGGGGCTTTTCTCTTCTTGACATCACTGACCTGGGGCAGAGGTTCGTAACCTTGCTGCTCAGTTGCAGAGCCGACCTAGTTTCAGCTTTTTAGAGACCTTCGCCTCGTTTGGCCTGGACCCAAAACATTTCTATCTTATCACATTCTTAGGATTCCAGGAAGGTGAACATAGCTCCCCAAAGAATTTACACACATCATAGTTAAACTATTTCCAACTTCACATTTTTATTTACTTGAAATTCTTTTCCCCTGGAACAAGCCTGAAATTGCTAATTCAATTAGTATTACACATAGTTCTGATCACTTTGCACACATTAGATACAACTATCCACACTCTTGTCAGAACAAGGTATGGACAAAACACCCTTGTGCAAACATGAATTTTATCACAGGCTTTTTTTCTACATATAATAACATCATATAAATTTTGTCCTTTTTGCTATTAATGTGGTAAATATCATTGACTGATTTTCAAAATGTTAAACTAAACTCCCATTCCTAAAATAAACCCAATTTTGTTGTGTTGTATGATCTTTATAGATCAATGCCTTTTGTACTACCTTAATAAGTGAAATGACCAGGTTTATTTATTTTTATTGTAATGTTCTGTCTGGTTTGTTATCAAGTTTATTCTGGTCATGTACAATGAATCAGAAAGTGTTTGCTTGCTTTCCTGTTCTCTGTAAGATTTTTATGTAAGATTGGTGTAATTTCTTGCTTAAATATTTGCTGTAATTCTCAACGGTTCCGTTCAGAGAGAGTCTTTTCGGTTTAGCATGGAAAGATTTTTAATTATGGTTTCAATTTCTTTAACAGATATAAAATTATTCTGATCTATGTCAGATAAATAATATTTGGGACATGCTTATACTAAAAAATTGTCTATTGTTTATCTGAGATTCAGATTTAATTGCATCCTGTATTTTTCTGGCAACCCCATAATGTCCTCATTATATTTTGAATGTCTGAATGAGTAATGATTGTCCCCTGTCATCTCGATTAGTAGTTATTTGTGCTTTTCCTCTCTCTTTTTTCTAAATTAGTCTCACTAGAAGCTTATCAATTTAATTAGTTTTTCAAAGAACTAACCTGTGGGTTTTCATTATCTTTACTGTATGTTTTCAATCCCATTAATTTCTACTTCCATTTATTTTTTTCCTTTTTCTTGTTTAGCATTTAGTTTATTCCTTAACTTCTTGAGATGGGTGAACTGATCTTTTATTTTGAGTTTTTTTTCTTTTCTATTATGTATAGGAATATAAATTTCCTCTGTGCATGATTTTAACCAGTTCTCACAGAGTCATTCTCAGGGACTTGGGTTTGATTTCGCAGGTGATAAGGAACTATTAGTTTTATGCATGGGAGTGACAGCTTTGTATTTGCTTTTTTGATGTGTGCCATTGGCTGTGGTGTGAAAGAGGTGGTTGAGGGAGGCAGAAGACTCGAAATGAAAGAGCACGTGGGTGAGGACAGAATATTTAGGGGCAGCCTTCAGGAAAGGGGCAGTTGAAGGACACAGAATCACCATTGTTAGAGAGAAGGGACAGTCAGAGAAGAAAGATCCTCTGCTTCATACTGGGTTACAGAGTTGAGGCCAAAGAGACTAGATGGAAGAAATTTCTTTCAGTTCTGTATTTTGTAGTCATGTTTCTGCTTAAGATTTTTAGCTAGATTTTGTATATTGGCATGTATATACATATATATGTGTGTGTGTATATATTTATGAATATATATGTGTATGTATATATATCATATTAGAATACATAACAAGCCTCTAAAACAAAGAATGCATTTCACACCTGTTTTATATATGATTACACAGCACACCAGTACTGTGGCTTCCCAGGCACGGCTAAACCACCTGAGACCTTCAAGCCAAAGATTCCATTGACCTGGACTCTCCAGGGACAGCTTCAAGCATTGGCCATCCTCAAGTCTTCCTAGGTTGGCCCGTCAGGGTAAGTCATGGACTTGAAGCCACTCCACTCCCTGGGCTATCACTTTGTCTTTTTTGTTGATCCGATTTAGTGAGGTGGATGCTATCCAAAATGTTTTTAGCAACTTGGTGAAAGATAGCTTACAGGTAAATGTCAGTTTTCATTTTAGTTGTAGATGATAAAAGATAAAGTGTTACCTAATTTGAACGAGAATAGTTGAATGGAACTCAAAGCAAGTCAGATTCTGTAATGACTTTTTTCATCGTAAGAGAAAAAGATTGGCTAGGAATAAAATTCAGTGGTTTGTTTGTGGATGAGGCATTCCATCTTTAACTGGGGTAAACTAAATTATTTTTTCATGCAAAGTGATACATCTGTATCTTTGTTGAATGGCCATCTTTAGAAACCAGCAAAGTTTCAAGCATCAAGAGGAATAGAACCTAGTGATTCTCCAAGAGTGAACTGAGACTTATAAACGGGCCATTGTCCTACCAAATTCCGGTGTTCTAAAGGTCTCACCACTGTCTCTTTCCTGGCATGTTCTGAAGAAGCCCATGGTTTGTTTTCTTTTCTCCATTCGTTCTCTAGACTCGCCATGTGAAGAGTTGCTCAGCTAACTTGTCTGTGGGAAGGGAAAAAAATGTCCTCTTCAAACGAATCAGTTTTTGTGGTTAAAAATTTCGGTGTTTGGGTAGACATTGGCCAATTTCTTCTGAAATCTGAAAACTTCCTTGAATTCCCACCATTGTGTTAATTCACTGGAAGTTGACGTCTTTAAAAGGTTGTGGCCAAAAAAAAAAAAATTGCTTTTAAAACCACATAACACCATCACTATATGACATATCATGGTTCAAGTTTCAATGACAGGAAATAGCTTCTTTAGATTTAATGTTAAGATGTGGGTTTGGGTGTGAATTAAAAGATAAAGAAATAGATACTTTCCTTGTCCATAATTAGTTGCAACTCCTTATTGTGTTTAAAATCAAGACAAACAAACAAACAAATCCACGTTCACTTTGACTATCCCTTTGTGTTAATTGTAAATTTTCTTGTCAGTGACTTAGTAGAAGAAATAAAATAGGGACTAGTAGAATTATTGATCTGCCTGTGATGGTGTCACTGTACTGATTTGCTGTCTCATTTTTCAGTGAGAAATCTCTCTGTCCATGGGTGGCTGGGGATGGAACCTTAGAGATTTGTTCATGAGCAAACTATCCTGATGATGGGGGAAGATATGCAACTGTCCATCTATTCATCTAAAATGTCTTGATGTTCAGATGGAGATAGAGATGAATAAGGTGAAATATCTGCCCTTACAAAGCCCCAGACAAATGGGAAATAAAGTCATATGTGCTAATAATAGGCCATGTATGGAATATAGTGGATTCAATGGGAATAGATAGGGAGGAGACAAATAGCACATGGTGTTGGTGAAATAAAGAGGGTCTGGACCAGGGTCGTAGCAGTGGTGATGAAGAGGGAGAGGCAGATTAAAGGGTTTTTAGGGAAATCACAGAAGTTCAGAGTTTGGCTTTGAGTTCTGGTATCCTGGTACTACTACTTTCTAGCTTCTTAGTTGGATCACTCGTGCAGTCCAAGTTTTGTAAATTCTCTGAATCTTGGCTTTCTTGTTTGTAAAATGGGATAATAGTACCTACCTCATAGGGTCATTGTGTGGATTAAATGAGTTAATTTGAGAAAATTAGTATCCAGTACTTGAAACATAGTAACTCAATACATTTGGCTATTGTCTTAGTCAGGGTTCTCCAGAGAAACAGAACCAATAGGATATATATTATCCTATTTATTACAAGGAATTGGCTTACACAAAAATGGAGGCTGAAAAGTCCCATTGTCTGCCATCTACAAGATGGACACCCAGTAGAGCTGGTGGTGTAGTTCCAGTCTAAGTCTAAAGGCCTGAGAACCAGGAGAACTAATTGTATAAGTTCCAGTCCAAGTGCAGAAGACTGATGTCCAAGCTTGAAAACAGTCAGAGAGAGCAAATTCTCCCCTGCTTCACCTGTGTTCTATTCAGGTCTCCAATAGATTGGAGGTGGCCACCCACCTTGGGGAGGGCCATCTGCTTTACTCAGTCTACCTATTCAAATGTTAATCTCATCCAGAAACACCTCCATGGACACACGTAGGATAGTGTTTAACCAGATATCTGGGCACCCCATGGCCCAGTCAAGTTGAGACATAAAATTAACTGTCCCAGCTATTATAATTACTATCAGTATTGGAACTTGGGTGAGATGTCATGTAGTGTAGTTGAACTTGTGTGGGGTTTTAAGCCAGGTAGCCTTTCATTTAAATCCCCTTACTGCCTTATACTATCTGCAAGACTTTGGTCAAGTTGCTTAATATTTCTGAGCCTCAATTTCATCATCTGTGAAAATGGGATTATAGTAGCTATTTTGTGGGACTCTTTTCAATGAAATGGATCCAAGTATGAAAAGAATAGGGCCCCACATCAAAATTCAGTAAAGGATTGCTACCATTCTTGGGGGCTGAGAGAGAAAGAGATGTTTAAAATGATATCCTTAAAATTTAAAGTGAGTTAATAGCTGGATAGTCATGATACGCAGAGAATTTGGAGGAAGAGCAGGCTTGTTTAAAGAAAACAAAAAGTGACTTTGATTCTAATCATGGATGAGGATGTCTGGTGCCTCTGCTAGGATGTAAGGATATGGCTCTCAGAAGGGATCCAGGCCTGGGGATTTAGCTTTGTGTATCGGCAGCATATAAATTGTATCTGATTCCATGGATATGGATTGGATTTTCCAGGAGGGGGAAAAGATCCAAATTTAGAATCTTGGAAAACATAGGGGAATGATGGAGGAAAAGAAGTCCATGACTGAGACTGGGCTAAAGTAATAGTGTTAGGAGGAACCCAGGCAAGAGGGCTATCATGCCTACTGAGAGGTGAGATTTGTGCTCACGAAGATGAACAAGTGGCCGAATGTCAAAGGGGAGAAAACAGAAAGCAGTGCTTGCTGGATTTGGCCATATGGAGGGCATCTGGTGATTTTCACCTTAGCAGTTTCTGTGGAGCAATGTGGACAGGAGACAGATTGCAGGCGATTGAGAAGAGAATGGGAGCGAGGAGGTGAGGATGTGGGAAGTATGGGCCAGGCTTAAACATGACTCCTAATACTCCATACCATCAAGCCAATGATGTGGCTTGGACGGACTGGACCTCCTGGAAAGATAGGAAGTTTGTGAGTGTTTGTGATCCAGTGGATAGTGATATCAAGTGAACTGGACTTAGCACTTAGAGGAGCACCTGGTTCGTTGCAAGTGCTCAATCAATGTTAGCTACCAGTGGAAACATTATCAACCACCTGCTGTATTGCCTTTTATGTGTACTCTCAGCCACTGCAGGGAACAATTGACCTCAGAGTTTGGTGATGGGTGGGAAAAATGAGGAAACTGGCCAAATGAATACATCTATATACATCAAATCAGAACAATTTGCTTAAGCATTGCCTGGCAATAATAACATCCTCCCTCTTTACACCCTACTCCTGAAAGCTACATTCATCTTTTCTAAAATGTCCACCTCTACCTTCACACTCCAAAAAGGGTCATTGGTACTATTTTCAACAAGCTTGAACCTACGTAAAAATGTTAGGATACATCTTGAAAGATGGCTCTTTTCCTTCCATCTCAGGCCCCTCATTTTAGATGTCTCACTATATTAGACACAAGCTCACATAGACTTATTGTATACTTGTAACTCATATAATATTTTTATCATATTATAAGTCTGCTAAGGATATAGACACTCTCAGGTGTTGTTAAATTGCTCTAACCAAACTTTTCCGGAAAAATTATGCATGTATTCCTTGACGCAAGCAATTCCATTTTGGGAACTATATCCTACAGATAGAAATAGCCACGAAAATGCAAAGCTGTAGTGAATGATGTTTCTTATATTATTTGTAGTGGAAGTAGAATTGGAAAAAGCCTGAATATCTATGAATAGGAGGAAAGTTCCAAAACCATCTATTTGGAAACAAGCTGTAGTGAACACAGTAAGGAATGAAATCATACTTAGCAAGATGTGGATGGATAATCTTCACTTTGGAGTTCAAGGGCTCCAGCAGTACTCTTTCTCTATGATGGATTTGAGAAATTGGTATCGCCACCTGTCATTAAGTGTAGTCACTCCTAAAGGGTCTCTGGACCCTCACTTGTGCATCTAATTTGATCACTGTGTGGGGTGACACATCAGGAAGTTCGCACGTTGGCAGGGATTAGCTTATTAATTTTATTTAGCCAACATTATTTAATGAAATTAATAAATATTAATATTAATAACAGTATTGTGTTAATAAATTATTAATATAATTATTAACTAATATTAATAATGGAATGAATAGTTAATTTCATTAACCACCTGAAAAAGCAGGGCATGGAGGAATGGTATTCAGACAGCTAAGTATTGATCAGATGGTAGTTATGGAAAAGGGGTACTGGAAAGATCCCAAAATTACAGTAGTGCCCTGTTCTGGTGGCATTCTTCTGTAGGAAGTGGGTTGAAGGAAGTATTGGAAGGTCACTGGTGCTCTCAGAATATAGGAAAAAGGACTGGAGAAGCATGGAAAAGACTGATAGAGGCCCTCATAACCTGGAGGGAGATCATCCAGCTTAGGCAATGAGAATTGGGAGAAGGAAAGAAGAGAGAGGGTAATAAAGGTGACAAAGAGAGAAGTTGGTACAGGGTGTGCGTGGGCAGCCAAATCTGTGAGATATTTGAGCAAGTAATAGATGATCCAGGAAGATGATGAATGCCAGGAGGTGATGAAAGACTAGAAGGGACTTGGGAGGTCACTGAAAACAAATGTGCCTAATTTGAAGTTTACTTAGCATTGGCCTTGCTTGTATTTAGTCTCTTCCACCAGCCAAGTGAATTCCTATGGGTAATTTATAATGTGGGAAAGTATGAATTAACATCTTCATTTACATAATCATCTTTCATAAGCAAGATGTCTTAAGCATCCAAAGGGCTTAGT